GCTATCAGTCTGAGCTCCACGTTGTAGAAGAAACGAAGACAGCTCCAAGCAATGCCTTAATACAATGGCGGGTTGAATAACAGTCTCTTTGCTCTCCTCCTCCTCCTCTTCCTCCTTCTCCGCCTCGTCGTCGATAATCACGTCAGGTTCGTGGACATCCACATCGTCATCCACCACCACGTAATCACTAGCACTAACAAAACCCTCCCACTTCGACATCATGGCTTCCAACTCCTCCACATCATTACTGGAAACGGGTTGGTCATAATCTCCACCTACTCGAGTTCTTCCCAGCATCGTTGCATTTAAAATTCGTGTATTGATCCAGCAGTTTGCAATCGCTGTAGGGGTCACGGCGGCCCAAGCTTCGATGGAAAACTGTACAGCTTCTAGTACATTGATCTTGCGTGCAAGATTAGCCTCGAAAGCATCCAGACACCATCTTACAAAAAGCTTTCTATACTGAGCCTTGAATGACCGATTGATACCTAAAACATTATAAAAAATGGCAAGTTAGTTTCGTTTTGTTACCGAAAAAAAAAACAAAGTCGTACCTGCATCCAGTGGTTGAACGGCAGAAGTCATGTTTGGAGGGAGAAAGTGGACTGTCACGTTAGACTGGTCTCGGAGAATCTTGTGGCTCGATGCATTGTCGACTAGGAGAAGAACCTTGCGATTGGTATCCGCCATTTTTAAATTGAAGTGGTGTAGCCATTCATCAAAAATGACGGATGTCATCCATCATTTTTGCTAGCCTTGTGTACAATTGGTTTCCCTTTAATGGCCACTCCTCTTTTAAAGCACCGTGGATTTGTGCCGTAACAATAACAATTGGGTCGAACTTGTCGGAACCGGTTGCATTGCAGCAGAAGGCCAAAGTCAAGCGTTGTTTTTCCTTTTTCTTGCCGTTGCGTTGGGTTGTTGCTAGTGTTCGGTTAGGTGCAAGTCGATACAATAGAGCTGTCTCATCGAAATTGAACACATTTTCAGGATCAAAACGGGCCACTTCCTCCTGCAGCTGGAGCCTTGCATCGCGCACAGTATCGTCTTCTACAGATCCACCCTCCCCGCACAACGTGTGCGAACGAATTCCGTTGGGCTTCTTGAACTTCTGAAGCCAGCCGTTGCTGAGACGGAGTTGCTTGGCATCAATATTAAACCTTTCACCCAGTTCGCGCGCCTTCAGCAGAAGAATGTCGTCCGCCATGGTTGTTTTAGCTTCATTTTTGAAGAAAAAAAATCCCTCACTTCGCGCTCAAATTGAGGGAATTTTACACGGCGACGCTTGGTTATATCCAGGTCAACGTGGCTAAAAGATTCAGGTTGCAGAGATCGCAACCTTCCCAGTATAGCTCGGCTGACGCGGACATTGAACGTCTGGTAGATCCACTCGTCGAGCAAGGGGTTTGATATGCCAGGGTTTGCTGAAGCTTTAGGTGCATGCGTAGCTTTTTCTCGAGCGTTAGACAGGTTGGCGAAGACATGGGTGAATTGTTGGCAGGAGCGGGGGGATTCTGCGTCGGAATGTTCTTTGGAGACTGTGCGGTCCTTGGCATCGTGTATCATATAAAGAGGTAAAACCCATTTTGGTTCCCAAAAATGTGACTCATATACCATGTTCGCATATAAAGAGGGAGGTTTACAAACAGTAAGTGAAAGTTTTGGTTGCAACGCATCGTGCATCATATAAAAGTGAGGACTCATTTAGAGAGGATCATATAAAGAGGTTTGACTGTATAACGGTAGACTGTATAACCGTACTGAACACCGTCTTCCTGGTTACAGCGGTGCTATTACTGGGAATACCTCAGAATGAGTAATGGACAGCCCAAACAGGATTAATTGCGTGAACGTAACGTAAATGGGTCAACGTTCGGACAACATCCAAATATCGTACTTAGTATGTGATTAAAAGTTCTAAGAACATGTATTCCCAGTGTAAGTCGCAGACGATCTAGTATACATGTAAGGGCATAGCACCCGGTTATCGCGCACATAAGCGGAAAATTCGATTTTGAGTCAAATATCAAGCCAATCGCGCTGCAACAAGTTTGACGTGAAAGGACTGTGTTTTAGCTATCTATAGAAGTAAGCGCGCGGGTAGAGCATTTGATTTAACGACGCAAAACGAATTGTTCG